GAAAATGTTTCCATTATAATCGGATTTTCGGTCGACAAAATAAAAATGATAATCAATTTTGAAGATTTTATTTGTCTTATCACACGAAAAATCTTCAAAATCGATTATCATTTTTATTTTGTTGACCGAAAATCCGATTATAATGGAAACATTTTTCACTAGGTTTTGTAAAGTCCGTAACAAATGAAAAATCCTTATTGGTGTCAATCTTACTAGATAGAAACAGTGATTTATCGATATGTCTCGTATGAAAAAAATTTTAAGTGAGCCTCTATCAGCGGTCAAAAGTTCAGTTCGTTTGATCGATATTTGGCGGAGATATTTAAATTTTTTATCGTAAAGTTACTTATGGGCCACCCAGTAGCAAAGAATTCATAGCCCGAAATCGTCAATCAAATTCATAATCCGCCAATACAGTGTGAGTCATATGGGTCTGATAGCATACTACAGGGCTGAACAAAGGCTGGTACTACAAAGGTTAATGTTGTTATTGAATACCTTGTAAATGATCGATATAGTAATACTGTAAGCCACTAGCATTGTTTATTATTTTGTTCACATATATCTATGCACGACTGAAGGTCTGGATTTTTATAGCATTTGCTCGACATATTTATTCATATCGCAAGTTCGATTGAATGATCAGTGGAATAAATTTCAGTAGATTGAATGAGAAAAAAATGACTCTTGTGATTCAGAAAAGAAATGATGATTTGCTAAAAATGAAAATGAAAAATACACAATTCTCGTGAAATGTATCTTATGTCTTTGCATCTTTTGATTCTTCAAATCGTTGTAAAATACGTCAAATATTTGATTGATCAAAAGTAAACCAAATAATAAAATATTAAAATCGAAGTAACATTATTAGGCAAGGAGAAATGTTCTTTCTGATGAGCAGGAGACAAGCAGATTATATAATACTTCTAATAAAGAAAAAAGTTTACCATCATAACATTTACATACAATCTTTTATTCTCTGCTTTGTTTCTCTATGATAAACATTCTCAACAGTTAAAATCGCTGAACCTTTTAAAGATGTTGCAAGGCACTATTTTTCGCTTGTTTGCACACACAAAACAATCAAGTTGAATGCAATGAAAATCAGTATCAAACTAGTACTTAGTAAATAGAATGGTTCTGGTGGTGGTCATTCCAGAATAACATGCCATAAAACAAGAATTAAATACTATTTTCCACCATACATGGGAAGACTTAATAATATTAACATATTTTTCATCAATTTCATTTCATGTTTAACATTAAGTATTGAAGTGTCAGTAGTTATCGTTATCATCCTCATATTACAAATTAAATCTAACAGTCAACATGTCGATTCAAAGCTGCGCGAATACGAGTACATCATGGACTGGCATCTACTGGTATACTAACCAACTCGAACAAAACACAAATTTCATTATTCGACATCAGTATTTCACGGTTCCAAATAGTATCGTCCAAGGAACACCACAATTACAGTCAGAAATCAATGGGTTTGTCACCAATCATGTTTACTTGACAGATTTCACTATCATTTTATTTTCACTAACAGCCAATTTCGATTCATTTGTTCGATTGGTCACGATTCCAAATTTTGGTTATCAAGATGTCGACTGGATGAATATGTCAGTGACAGATTCCGTCGCTTCGGTCAAACGTGGCAATTGCACATTTCCCGAGAAGTGTCTACTAGCTGAAAAGTACCATGTGAAAGGATTGCTGATTTTCAATGAAGGAACAGCACCAGATCGTTTTCAACCATTACAGTATGTAGAAAATAATATGAATGCAACAATTCCGGCCTATTTCCTATCGTATAACCTGGGAATGCAATTTGTCAATGCAAGTGACAACGTTAGTATTCGAATGACAGTCAATGTCAGTGATGCAGAAATAATCGAAAATATTTGTGCTGATACGGTAACTGGAGATAAAACAAAAACAATTGTGATCGGTTTTCACAGTGATGGAGTGTTAGAAGGAAGTGGGATTAATGATAATGATAAGAAGAGCGTCAGTACATGAAAATTTATGCATAAATATCGATGAATTTGGAGCTAGGTTTTAATTGAATTAGTTTCTATAGAATGCCGCAGTTATCCTTTCTATTATTGCTTAGGCAGTGGCACTGTCGGCAACTTGGTTCTGGCCCTTAATTTAGCTCGTCTACTTCAAACATGTTCATTAAACTACGCTCCATATCGATATCGTGTTCGATTCTGTTGGTGGGGTGTAGAAGAACTCGGTCTTCTCGGTTCAATTTATCATGTCGACCAGATCTCCTTGCCTACGGCCACCACCAAAGGTGAACGCTTGCAAGATTATCTTCTATATTTGAATTATGACATGCTCGCCTCTCCCAATAATAATTTTGGTATTCTTGACAGTTTTGCAGTTCCACCGGCAACACCTGAACAAGCTCTGCCCGGCACTGGCCGAATTACAGATCTACTTCATCAATGGTTTAATGAACAGAAACTTTCGTGGACCAAATCGAGTATCGGAGGTGGCAATGATTTTATACCACTTTTGACTAAAGATATAGCTGCTGGCGGAATCAACACTGAGGCTGGTGGAATCAAATCAGCAACTGAACGAGATCAAAATGCAGCAATGTTGGGAATAGCAAGTGGTGGAATAGCCAATGCTGCTTATGATTCATGCTACCATCAACAATGTGATAGGATCACAAATATCAATCCATTTGCATATGAGAAAGTTGTTAAAGCGGCTGCTTATGCTCTTCAGTACACGGGGCGATTAAACGATCTGGAAAAATGGTTGTATCCACAAGGCCGAGTGAATTACTTGGACCTGCTCAACAAAAACTAGCTATATAATATTTATAATAATCCTGATCTTTTTTAAATTTCCACAATTGCAATGTGATTAATTTATTAACAACTGATGGAAGCCTTCAATTAGAATAAAGCACCGTAGAGATTGATATAAAAAGTTTTGTCTGAAATTTTTCTTCTTTAATTATATTTGATCATATCTTTCGCCATTCGGTGATCGTGAATGCCATAAGGTTACCTAAATTTCGAATTCGTTACGCTCTACTCATATAAAATAATTAATTTATTATTTTGT